TCCTCCCCCTCCTCCACCCTCCTCCCTCCTCCTTCCTCCTCCTCTTCCTCCTTCTCCTCCCCCTCCTCCTCCCTCCTCCTCCTCCTCCTCCTCCTCCTCCTCCTCCTCCTCCTTCTCCTCCTCCTCTCCTCCTTCTCCTCCTCCTCCTCCTCCTCCTCCTCCTCCTCCTGCCGTCGAAGAACGAACACAGACTGCATTCGCAGCCTTGCTCGGAGCTGCGCGCGGAGGCCTCTGCGGTGGGCACACCGAGGAGCGAGGACAGACATCGCAGGTCGAACACGAGAGCCAACACTTCTGCCATCGGAGGTCGAGGCGGCGGGCTGTGGGCCGCTCTCGGCCTCCTTTGGGCCCTCGCCGGGCCCCAGGAGGCCGTCAGAGAACGGCTCGGGATGGAAGCAAGGCCAGTTCTTCAGGTGCAGCTGAGGAGGAGGAGGGAGGAGAGGAGGAGGAGGAGGAGGAGGAGGAGGAGGAGGAGGAGGAGGAGAGGAGGAGGAGGAGAGGAGGAGGAGAGGAGGGAGGGGAGGGGAGGGAGCAGGGAGCAGGGAGGAGGAGGAGGAGGAGGAGGAGGGAGGAGGAGGAGGAGGAGGAGGAGGAGGAGGAGGAGGAGGAGGAGGAGGAGGAGGAGGAGGGGAGGAGGGAGGAGGAGGAGGAGGGGGAGGAGGAGGGAGTGGGTTGACAAGACCGCTGGGGGCCCGCGCTGTGGGAGACCCACGACGTGAGGTTCTGGGAGCGCTGGGGTGCACGCGGCGCGCCGCGGGCCTGGACGAGAGCCCGATGCAGGAAACAGGCCCGACGTCCTTGCAGCGCTGGGCTCTCCCGTGGCCAGGCCCGCGGGCCCGTGTCCAGCGCAGGGCCTCTCCGGCGCAAGGTCTCCATGCTTTCCACCTGTGAGTCCAATCCGGCCATGTGTCTTCGGCTTCCGTAGTGAACTTCCGCCGTCGCTCCGCGTAGATTCATTGGATCGGCGCTGGGTCCCACTCTCCGCCGAGCCAGGGAGTCCGCGGGCACGTTGCTTCTCGGTGCTGGGAGAGGGTGCCTGCCTGCAGATCTGAAGATTGACGGCAAGGGCGCCCCCAGATGTCTTGTGGCCAGGTGCCTCTTCGTGGGCCACTCTGCTTCCTGCAGTGCGCCCCGCGGCGTGCTCCGCTGGCAGCGCTGCCACGGAGCGATCGCGTCCCGGGGGTGGTGGGGGGCAGGGGGTCGTAGACCTCGGGGCTGTCCTCAGGAGCAGTCCTTCCTCCCGGGCAGCCTCTGGACGGCCCCGTGGCCCGCGGAGGGCCCCGGGGGCCCCGAGAACGGCGGGCCCCCTCTCCCAGAGCCCGGAGCTTCCGGGGCTCCTCTCCCCCAGGGCCCGCCGCGTCCATGCGAGCGCAGCTTGAGGATGGACTGCGCACCCGGCACGGCCGACAGGTCGACGGGGGGCCTCGGGGGGCGTTCTTCCCGCGCTGCCGAGGATCCCTTGGGGGTGCCTCAGCCTTCAGGCTATGAGGAGGAGGGGGAGGAGGAGGGGGAGGAGGAGGAGGAGGAGGAGGAGGAGGAGGATGAGGAGGAGGAGGAGGAGGAGGGAGGAGGAGGAGGGAGGAGGAGGAGGAGGAGGAGGAGGAGGAGGAGGAGGAGGAGGAGAGGGAGGAGGAGGGAGGGAGGAGGAGAAGGAGGAGGAGGAGGAGGAGGAGGAGGAGGAGGACGACCGTCTGGAGGCCAGCGTGGGCGTGTTGACGTGGGGCGACGGCTGGACGACCCCGACTCCTCCAGGAGAACTCTGGTCTGGGGCGACGCCAGTTGTCAGCCTCCCCGACGCACGAATCAGGATATACCCCTGACCTCCCCCAGCCCCGCTGATTCGGGAGTGATTGAACTTGGGCACCCGAATCATCTGGGATCTCTTAAGGCTCTGGGGTCACTCCAGCTTGGGCCCCCGAGGCGCGAATCTGTCGCTACCCCTGACCTCCCCCAGCCACGCCGCCGCCGCCTACATCGCTTCCAGAGCGAAGAGCACCGACCTCTGTCGGCAGCTCTACCCCGGCTACTCCAACAACCCCGACCGCGACGGAGGTAGCCTGGCGGCTGCGGTGCAGGCCCACAACGCAGTCGTGCGGGACGCCGACCGGGTGGTGTTCGACCACGCGCAGCACGGCAACCAGAAGGCCCTCTCCGACGCGGTGGACAGCGTCTCGCTCGACGGACTTCTGGCGGGCTCCACCCTGGCCGGCAAGGCGCACCTCTCTCTGATGCAAGCCCCAGGCGCGGCCGCGTGGCTCCAGGCGCCGCCCTGCGAGGCCACCGGCACCGCCTTCCCGCACGGCCTCATGCAGGTCGGCCTGCAGAGGCGGCTGCGAGTCCAGCTCCTGCAGGAGGAGTGCTTCTGCCCAGCCTGTGGCGAGGTGATGGACGTTTTCTGCGACCACGCCCTGGTCTGCGCCTGCCGCGGCGACCGGACCAAACGCCACAACGCCCTGCGCAACCAGGCCTTCTTCGACGCCCTGGCCGCCGGCCACGCCGGGGCGGAGTTGGAGCGCCCGGGGCTGCTACCCGCGCGCCCCGCCGGGGAGGCCACCCCCGGGGGCGAGCAGGGCGGGTCCCAGGTGGACGACAACGGCCGCCGCCCTGCCGACGTCTACCTGCCGCGGTGGCGCAACGGCACGGCGGCCGCCTGGGACTTCGCCGCCACGTCAGGGTTGCGCGCCGATCTCCTCGCCGCGTCTGCCGCTTCGTCAAGCGCAGCGACGGAGCGGTACGAGGAGTTCAAAAGGCAGCACCAGGACACCGCGCGGCTCTGCGCGGCACAGGGCTTCACTTTCCTCCCCATGGTGGTGGAAGCCCACGGCGGCGGGTGGGGCCGCGAGGCACGCAGGGCCTTCGGGGTCCTGGCCAAGCGGGTGGCTGACGCCACGGGGGATGACGCCGCACTGGTTGCGGACCAACGTGCCCAGCGACTTTCCGTCTCCCTGCACAGGGAGAACGCGCGGGCGGTGTTGCGGCGCCTTCAGACCCTGTCTGGAGGGGCGGGGGTGGCAGCGGCCCGCCTGGCCGCGGCCACGGCGGCCTCCACGGCAGACGCCGTGTGAGGTGCCCCCTGCGCTGCCTAGCGCCCCCCGCCCACCCCCCCCCCGCCCTTGCTGGGCAGCGCGGGCGCCCCCCTCGCCCTTTCGCCAACGTCGCGCCGGCGACCCCTCCCACGCGCCGCCCGGCCTTTCCCCGGCGGGGCGGTGGATGGATCCCGCAGAGGGCAATCCCCACCAAGCCGCATCGCGCTGGGTTCGGGCGGCCACCCCGCCCAGGTCGCCGCCGTAGGGTCCGCAGCCTCGTCGCGGGCGGCTCTTCTCTCCCGGCCCCTGGCCCGGCCTGTCTGCTTGCGGCCGCTGCTTTCTCTCCTCCTTGTCCTCCTCCCCCTCCTCCCCCTCCCTTCGCTTCTGCTCGTTGCTTCCCTCCCTTTCCTTTCCTCCTGCTCCCTGCCTGCTGTCTCCGCCTAGCCCGTCTTCTGCCTGCCCGCCCGCCCCGCCGGCCCTGGCCTCCCGCCTGGGCGTTCGTCGTCGTCTGCCTGCTTCTCCCCTCCTCGTCCCCTTCCGCCGGGCAGCACAGCCTGCCCGGAACCAGCGTGGCGGCATATATACGCCAGGCGGTTGGCCAGCATTCCTGCTATAGGTGGGGCCGCCTTGGGCGGGTCTGCGGCCGTGGGGGCAGCTTGAAGTGCTCCCAGGCCGCCTGCAATAGGAGGCGTGTGAACGGGGATGTGGGCTCTCTCATGCCCACAAGGGCTGTGGGCAGGGCTCTCGAGACTTCCTTCCGTTTTACGCTGGACTGGCGCCCTACTCTTTTTTTGAATTGGTATGGGGCAGCTCCGGCTTGGGCCCCCGAGGCACGACTCGGCCGCTGTACTGCCCCTGACCTCCCCCGCAGCCCTGACGACTGATGCTCCGGGGCTCTCGGAGAGGGGTCCCAGGCTGCAAGGGGTCCGCTGTGGAGGGGGGCCGTGGGCTCTGGAGGGTCCTAGGGCCCTGTCGCCGTGCTCGGGTTCCCGGGGCCCTCCCACGGTCGATTCACCGGGGCGGGCGACCCCAGGGGGTCCAGGACCTGCCTCTCTCGGGCAGGGGCCCCCGCCCCGCACGCGTCAGCGCCCGCGCGGCAGGGCAGGCCTTGCGAGCTAAGAGCTTGCCCCGGGCGGAGAGAGTGCCGACTCCATGTGGCCTCCAGCGGCTCCCAAGCGGCATCCGGATGCGTCCGTGCTGATGCCAGGGCCCTCCAGTTGCTTCCAGAGCGTGCCGAACGCCCCGGAGACGTCGAGAACGGTCTCCAGGGGGTCTCCATGGACCTCCAGGGGGTCTGGAAGGCGCTTCCAGGGAGTGGGGCAGACTGCGGATGTCGCACTGTGCCACGCTGTCCTCTTGTTGGTCTAAACTTGTGTACAACTATCCTGAGCGCAATGACCATGATTCGCCGTGTACCCTGTATGCACGTTGAATTTACTGGAGGCTGATGCTAGATCCGCCGACTCCAGGATGGTGTCAAGACTTCGGTTGGCCCATGCAGGCGTGGAGACTGGGAACGAGCACGGGAGGAAAGATTGAGGACGAAGAGAAAGGTGTGGAGGAGGAGGAGGAGGAGGAGTGTGCTTGCAAAGGCGCCAGGGCGTCCCAAGACTGATTGCAAACACTGTCCCTCCCCCTCAACCTCCTTCTCGCGCTCTCTCTCTCTCTCTCTCTCTGTCTCTGTCTCTCTCTCTGTCTCCCTCTCTGTCTCTCTACATATTGCCCTTCCCAATATTATCCTCCTTCTTCTCCTCCTCCTCTCCCTCCTCGTCCTCGTGCTACTCCACCTTGAGGCATCGATGTTTAGAAGGTGCACATGGGCGACCGGAAAGGGCTCACTGCCACCCCGCTCAAGCAGCCTCAGCAGGCGTGCAGTGCCGAGGGGGGGCATCGCGCTGCCTTCCCGCCATCGGACTCTGCTTCTCTTCGTGGGCTACGTACGTGAGCGCCGAGCGCCCAATCGCGCCGGCTGCCATGGTGCTGCCCACCACGCTGCTGGGGCCCCTGCTGTTTGCGGTTGTGTCGGCTTCGCCTCTGCCCCGCGCCGCTGCCCTCTGCCTGGCGGTAGCCGCGGCGTTCGCGCTGCGGCTCTACCCGCGGAAGGCCATCGACCTGGGCTGGAGGGACCTGGCGGCGGCACTGTGCTACTCCCTGGTGCCTGGCCGGGAGTCCAGGCGCTCGCTGGAGCGCTCGATCACCAGCGCCTGGTCGCCCCGAGGAGACGCAGTGGTGCACCTCTCGGTGCGCACCGGCCTGGACCTACTGCTGAGGGCACTCGAGTTACCGAGGGGCTCCAAGGTCCTCTTCGTGCCGGGCATCACAATCCCAGGCATGGTAGACATCGTCGAGGCCAACGGCCTCGTGGCCGTGGGGGTCGATCCGCCCTCCGAGAAAGATCTCCTCGTAGACGAGCTGGCTCCGTACATCACCGAGGACACCCGCATGCTAGTGGTCACCCACCTGTTCGGAACTGTTTTCGACGCTACGAGGCTGATTCGGGAGGCGAAGGAGCGCGGGCTGTTCGTCCTCGAGGACTGCGCGCAGGCCTTCCTGGGCGCGCCCTCGGCTTCGGCGGTCGGTTCGGGTGCCCCCCGATGCCGAGATGGCTTTCGCGGCAGCGAGGGCGTTGACGCAGCTTACGTCAGCTTCGGCACGATGAAGACCCTGACAGCGCTTGGCGGCTGCCTGGGATTCATCCGCGACCCCAGCCTACGGGACAGGGTCGAAAAGGAACAGGAGACGCTTCCCACCAGATCAACCTTCCAGTTCTTCACAGTGGTGCTCAAGGGCAGCCTCATCAAGCTGCTGGGCCACCCGTGCGCCTGGGGCCTCGCTGCTGCCCTGTGCTCGCTGATGGGCGTCGACTTCGACGCGCTGATCATAGGCTCGAGCAAGAAGAAGCATGAGCATACCTTTCGGAGGTCCGCACGGAGTGCTTGGATCGGCGCAGGGTCCCCCGTCCTGGCGCGCGGAGCGGGCCAGGGGCGGCGCTGGAGGCGCCATCGGGGATGTCGGCGCGGATCCAAGAACACCGCGCGGACCTCCAACAGCTCATGCTTGTGCGTTTGCCCAGGCATCCTCCATCGTGAATTTTTTCACCACGAGCCTCCCCAGAGGTCTTGACTCCTTCCAAGGGACCGGCTTGCTATCCCGAGACGTTTTGTGATGACAGTCCCGTGGCCTGGCGAGGTCCCCCCGAGGCTGCAAAATTGCAAGAACCATCCGTCGCGTTGTTGTTTCTTACTTCTTTTCACAACGACAGGGTGTCGGGGTTCTTCTCCTGTAGGCAGCGTGCGCGGCTTCCCGGACGCCTCCAGCATCAGGCAGCGCCCTTGCCGTGCGCTGCTGCGGCTCCTGCGCAGGCGCATCGGTAGCCAGCAGCTGGCCTGCCTGGAGGAAGTCCGCGGCGCCTCCGCTGCCGCGTCCACCGTGGCGAGCCGCTGCCAGATCGGCACTCTCCTGGCGAATCGCCTTAAGGAGGGCGGCACCACGGTGCTGACGCACAACGCGGGGGTCAATTCCTGGTGGCTGCTGCCAGTTGTGGCCGAGGACCCGAAGGGCATGGTGAGGGGCCTGTGGGCGCGCGGCTTCGACGCGACCTGCACCTCGACGCAGCTGAGGCGGGTGCCAAAGAGCGCCGGCCCTGGCTGCAAGGACATCATGGACCGGGTCGTCTTTCTGCCGCTCACCCCGCAGCTGCCGCGCGCGGCCGCGAAGAGCAGAAGACGGCATGCACACGATTTCCCGGAGGTCCGAGCGGACTGCTTGGATCGGCGTCAGGCACCGCTGGCGGCGCCTCCCGCGCCGATCCGATAACTCCGCGCGGAGCTCCGAGAGGTGCTGTCTGTGCTGTTCTCTGCGTGTTCCCTCCCGAGGCCGCGAAGTCCCTGGCGGACGCGGTCCTGGACCTCCAGCGAGCGCGGCCCGCGGAGGAGGGCAGGGCGGCGGCGCGCGGCGCGCTGGCGGCCGGGGTCTGGGCGGCGCTTCTCGCCATGTGCGAGGCGGGGCTTCGTCCGTGCCCACCGCCTGCGGGATCGATCTGTCTCCTTGGCGTGGCAGCCGGCCCCGGCCCGAACCTGCGGGTCGGTTGTGGAGGTGTCCGCGTCGAGGGCAGCTGCCACAGCTCGGGGCAAGGTTTTTGGTCAGGGGGTGGCGTGCCCCTTCCCACTCCCCCCCCCGCCAGCTCTTCGATGCAGACGTGGCGCATAGTTGATATAGCGACAACTCTGACGGTGTGTGTCCCATGGGCAGTCCTGTCTTTTTTTCTAGGGGCCGATTGTCACGAACCATTTTCGGTGACTTCGGTAGGCGGTGGACAAGGATATGATACACGCATTTGCCCCCCGAGTGCCCGAATATACATGTATGTGTATGTCTATATATATATATATATGTATATATGTATGTGCATATCAGAGTGAGGGGGCCGAACGATCATTCACTGTCCATGGGTGCGTAGCTGAACAGGGAATCCGTGGTGAGAATTCTGTTTGTTGCGTTGTTGTTGTTGTTGTTGTTGTCGTTGTTGTTATTGTTGTTGCTGTTGTTGTTATGATTGGTGTTGTTTGTTGTCGTCGTCCCACCCGCGACCCACCCCGCGACCCACCCGCGACCCAACCCGCGACCCACCCGCGACCCACCCCGCGACCCACCCGCGACCCACCCGCGACCCACCCACGACCTACCCCGCGACCCACCCCGCGACCCACCCGCGAACCCACCCGCGAACCCACCCGCGACCCACCCCGCGACCCACCCTCAAGGGAGGAAAAGCCACCCAGACCCGCGACAATTGACGTTTACTAAGCGGCCCTGGGCGTTTACTAAACAGCCCTGCCCTGCTCGATTCATTCCTTGTGTGCGTTTACCAAACGGCTTCGCTTGTCGGGGTGATGATCATGGGGTGAATTTTCTGGCCAGGTAAATCCTTCAGGGCCCCGGGGCCCGCGACAGGGCCTAGGTCACCCGTGGGGGGCGCGAAGGTAATTATGCTTGGCGCTTCGCGGTCTGGACCTGAGCGGCTGCCATTCTCCAAGGGAGCGGCGCGATGGCGGGAGGCCACGAAGATATCCGCGCATCGCGGGGCGCGATGCGGGAAGTCAGGCGACTTGGAGGGCAAACGCGCCCACTGCGAGAAAAGAATCGCGACGCCAGGATCGCAGAGGGAACCCCCGCCTCGCAGCCATGGTCCTGGCGCTGCGGCCCTCGCTGCTCCAGGGGCTGCTGCCCTCCCGCACCGCGGCCGCGAGGTCGGGAGCAGCGTCAGGGGGAGATGGGCTCAGGGGTGGAGGCATGGGGCGCTGCAGAAAGGGCTTCGCCTTCGAGGATCGAAGGAGCTGGCATCTCTTCTTCGGCGGAGGGCGGCGGAAGGGCGGCGGCAGTAGCGCGAGGCCGCCTCCGCCTGCGGAAGCCAGCGGGAGCAAGCGATGCGCCCCAAGGAGGAGATGGCAACATGTGGGGGCCCGGGACTTCCCAGCATCGGCCGCACCGACCCTGCGTCGCCCCACTCGTCGCCGACGAGAAGGGCCCAGCAGCCCCCCCCCCCAGGACCGCGTGGGTCCGCCATCTCGGAGGTTGGCCTCGGGGGAGGAGGGGGAGGGGGAGGGGGAGGGGGAGGAGGAGGATGATGAGGAGGAGGAGGAGGAGGAGGAGGGAGGGAGGAGGAGGAGGAGGAGGGAGGAGAAAGAGGAGGAAGAGGAGGAGGAGGAGGAAGAAGAGGAAGAGGAAGAGGAAAACGAGGAGGAGGAGGAGGAGGAGGAGGGGGAGGAGGAGGAAGAGGAAAAGGAGGAAGGGCCGCGTGGGTCCGCCATCCGTCGACGATCTTCAGGGCGCGTGCCAGCCCGCAGGGCCTGCCCCGTTCCGCTTCGCCGGCAGCACGCCGCGCGCGCCGGGCGGCGGCACGCCGCCCGCGTCGCACGGCGGAGGGCCTCGGCGGACCCGCACACCGAGGGGCGCCGACGCGCTCCGAGATAGGATCACCGAAGGGGGGGGCCATCGCCGATCTATCGGTGAGGCTGCGGGCAATGCCTTTATCCACGTCCAGTGCGTCCTGGAGTTTCGGACTCTCTTCCCAAGGAACATGAGGCGCACTGGATATGGATCATAGTCTGCCTCCAAAAGGCTCGATTCTTATCCATATCCAGTGCGCCTCGGCCTTGCGGCGCCCCTTCCAAGAAAGTCCAAGACGCACTGGATATGGATATAAATATTGCCCGCAGAGGCATCGCCGAGTACAGCTCGACGGTTCCCTTTCCCTGCTGAGCCGGTCCCCCGACGGCTCCCAGTTTCACTTCGGGCCTCCAGCGGCCGTCGGGGACGATCCGGGAGCCTCGGGAACGCTCCCGGCGAGGCGCGGCCGCCGGAAGAGAGCACGCGGCGGGGAAGCCACCGAGACGCAACGGCGGCGTCCGAAGACCTCAGACCTCGAGCGTCGAACACGACGGAGAATCTCGAACGCCCCCCTTCCGAAAACTGCAACATCGTGACCAATCACGGCCAGAGCCCCAGACCCCACCTTATTCGATACTTGGCTCCGAAACCCTCGCAGGCGCTTGTTTCGATAAATTTGCCCCCCTGAGCCGTGGACCCCGAAAAGTGTCGACACCCCAGGGGCCGGCGACGCCCCAGAGGTTTTTTAAAACGCCAGACAACCCCTCGTGAGGGCGGCAAGCATCCCGAGGCTCGGAAGCGGCCAAGAACCAACGAACGCGCCCGAGAACCCCAAACCCTCGAACCTCGAAAACGCTGGACCCCCCCCCCCTGGGAAACTGCCGAGAACCAACGAAAGCGCTCGAACATCCCAAACCTCGAACCTCGAAAACGCCCGACAACCCCCCAGCGAGCGCGCCCGAAAACCCCAAACCCTCGAACTTCGAAAACGCCCGACGACCCACCCCCTGGGATGCCGCCGAGAACCAGCGAACGCGCCCGAAAATCCCACACCCTTTTTCCCAACCCTCCTTGTTTGGGTATTCGTTCTGAATAGGGCACTGCGGTCTCCAGTCCTCCTCCTCCTACTCCTCCTCCTCCCGCCTCCCGTCTCCCGCTTCCGTCTTGTCTCTTCTTGCTTTGCGCGTACCTCGTGTGTGTGTGTGTGTGCGTGTGCGTGTGCGTTTGCGTGTGCGTGTGCGTGTGCGTGTGCGTGTGCGTGTGCGTGTGTGTGTGTGTGTGTGTGTGTGTGTGTGTGTGTGTGTGTGTGTGTGTGTGTGTGTGTGTGTGTGTGTGTGTGTGTGTGTGTGTGTGTGCGTGCGTGCGTGCGTGTGTGTGTGTGTGTGTGTGTGTGCACTCTGGCTGCGGTACCTCTTGTGTGTGCATCTTGCCAAGGGGCTGCGATCTGTGACAGTGTCGCCACTTTCGAGGGCTGCTGGTGGGTCCTGCAGAGTGAGGCACCGCGGGGACCTGAGCCAGACCTCGCCGTCCCTGGGGGTGTTGCGATCTGCGACAGTGTCGCCACTTTCGAGGGGTGCTGTTGGGTCCTGCGGAGTGAGGCACCGCGGGAATCTGAGCGAGACCTCGCCGTCCCTCGCCACTTTCGAGGGCTGCTGGTGGGTCCTTTGACTGAGGCACCGCGGGGACCTGAGCGAGACCTCGCCGTCCCTGGGGGGCTGCGATCTGCGACCGTGTCGCCACTTTCGAGGGCTGCTGGTGGGTATTGCGGAGTGAGGCACCGCGGGGACCTGAAGGAGGCCTCGTCGTCCCTGGGGGTGTGGCGATCTGCGACATTGTCGCCGCGTTCGACGGCTGCTGGTGGGTCCAGCGGACTGAGGCACCGCAGGGACCTGAGCGAGACCTCGCCGTCCCTGGTGGGGGGGGGGCTTGCGATCTGCGACGTTGTCGCCACTTTCGAAGGCTGCTGTTGGGTCCTGCGGAGTGAGGAACCGCGGGGACCTCAGCGAGACCTTGCCGTCCCTGGGGGGGCTGCGATCTGCGACGGTGTCGCCACTTTCGAGGGTTGCTGGTGGGTACTGTGGAGTGAGGCAGCGCAGGGGCCTAAGCGAGACCTCGTCGTCCCTGGGGGGGCTGCGATCTGCGACAGTGTCGCCACTTTCGAGGGCTGCCGTTGGGTACAGCGGAGTGAGGCACCGCGGGGGCCTGAGCGAGTCCTCGCAGTCCCTGGGGGACTGCGATCTGCGACGCTGTCGCCACTTTCGACGGCTGCTGGTGGGTCCAGCGGACTGAGGCACCGCGGGGACCTGAGCGAGACCTCGCCGCCCCTGGGGGGGTGCGATCTGCGACATTGTCGCGCCACTTTCGAGGGCTGCTGGTGGGTCCAGCGGAGTGAGGCACCGCGGGGACCTGAGCGAGACCTCGCCGTCCCTCGGGGGCTCTGGAGAGCTGCTGCGGGATACGTTAGGCGCAACGGGCGCATGGCACAGCCAACGGTGGTGATTTGTGAAACAGACCATTGGTCGGGCGATGGCCATAACGTTGCGCCTGCACGTATCCCGCGGGGGCTCTCAAGAACTGCTGCGGGATACGTTGGGTGCAACGAGCGCATGGCACAGCCAACGGGGGTGATTTGTGATTGCGTTGCCCTTATATCTTGACCGGGGGCTGCAAGCCTTCCGATTGCTGCTCGCAAAATCACAGGCGCCCATATTACGTCATCGCCCCCGTTGTAGCAATATTGATGTACTTGTGCCCCGCATTGCGCAAGGAGGAGGGACGCGGCCAAAGGAAAAGGAGGAGGAGAAGGAGGGTGGAGGAGGAGGAATAAGAGGAAGAAGAGGAAGAGCAGGAGGAGGAGGAGGAGGAGGAGGAGGAGGAGGAGGAGGCCCGCTGCCATTTTTGCTCAAGTGGGAACGCGCCCCACCTGAGCGGGCAGCTCTGCTTTCGAACGATCCTGCGTGTTGAGCGCATGCGGGCACCTTCGTTTTTTGTTCGCCCTCAGGCTCCTCCATTTCTTGGGCACGGCGCTGTCAGTGGTTAGTCTCGTTGCCCCATGGCTCACGTGGATCGTGGTGGTCGTTCTGATTCTTTGGGCGCAGCAGCATCGACGCCCCCGCCCAAGGTCCAGCGAATTGATGGCAAGTCGAGCAATGGCAAGGGCTCGTCGGAGGCAGCGCAGCACGTGCAGCATCCTGCGCGTGGTCATTAGCGTGTACTCACTGCTGCAGCCGCAGCTCCTCAGGACCCTGACGATCTCGACCTTTGGCCCCAGCCCGAGCGACCCCACGGACATTGAATGTCTCCGCGCCTATGTGGAAGTCACCAAGAACGGTGCCATGGCCTCCATCCAGAACATGCAGCGCGGGCTTGCCACCCTTTCCGGGACTTTCACCCAGCTTTGCACGAACCTGGAGCAGCAGGTTGTTTCCCGCATGAGCGCCGCTGGGCGTCGCCTCGACGCCCGCGACTCCAAGGTCGATGCTATGGCTATGGAGATTCGTGAACTTCAGGAGCTTCCCATAGTGGTTCGCACGGAGGAGCCCCCCGCGGTCGCGCCGTCGGCCGTATTCCATTGCAAGACTGACCCCACCATCCTCGTCGTTTTAGCTGCCGTTCTCGTCAGTCGCGAAGCTGTGTGCGAAGGGCTCGCGGAGCGGTTGGCCGCCTCTAGCTTCGACTTCGAGTCCTGGCAGGTCGTCGGGAATTCAGCGGGCACGCGTTTCACGGTCAAGGTCAAAGGGGGCCCTGGCTGGGCTGCTCGCGCGGTGGCACGTGCCCTCAGCAACGTCGAGCTCGCGGACGGCTCCTTCCGTCGTTTCTCCGCGCACTCGGCCCAGCGCCAGCACGTTGAGCTCTGTGCGTCGGGCGACAAGAACCTGGCCCAGATCCGCAGGAAGTTCGACCTTCAGAGAAGCAAGCGTCTTCTCTCGGAAACGCATCTTGGCGAGCCCTTTCTCGCGGACAGGCGCGCGGGAAAGATCTCGCGCCAGTGGTGTGCCATCCTCAAAGTTACCTCGAGGCAGAACGAGACCCCTGTCACCGAGTGCGACCAGGAGGTCCTCGACGCCTTCGGCCTGCCAAAGCCCGGGCTTGTCGCCAGCGTCGAGCAGTTTTTTTCGCGCGGTGTGTCGGGTCTCAAGAGCGGTCTCTTTAACAGCCTGTTCCGTTTGCTGAAGCTGCCGCCCCGCGCAGCTCATCCTCGCGGGCTAGGCCTCGCCACGTGGAACGCCAGGGCGTGTCGCGCCGCCGCCCAGGCAGTCGAACCCGTAAGATGAAGTGCATCCGCGGCATCTTGGTTGGTTTCAATGCTGCGCCGTATAAGACTAGGCCCGTGGATGACGTTTGCGATTTTCTCCACATGGCAAGAACCGGTTCTGAATTCAGGGCTTCCCTCGCTGGGCCCAACATCCGCAATGGTGGCGTCGTCGCGTTCCTCCCGCGGATGTCCCTGTGGCCTGGCGCTGGGATTTCAATATCTTCGGAGGTTCTGGCCCCTGGGAGGGCACTACTCACTGCGCTCGATTGAGGCCAGCTCCCGAACCACGCAGACCACACGTGCATCGCGCACGTTGGCGCCCACAACTTCGGCCTCGCGGGGCCCCAGATTCAGTTCGAGATGAGCTTTCTCGGAGGTCTCTGGCGCGCTACTTCGTCGTCCTCGCCGGGGGCTTCAATCTCCCGGGAGAAGCGCCCCGCCCTGTCTTGCCCCCGTACTCTACAGCCCCTATCCCGACTCAAGCTGAACTGCGCCGCCAAGGAAGGTCCCCTTGGAAGCCCCTCGTCCTGAAGTTTCTTGAGACTTCGGCGAATGAGGCGCGCGATCAAATGGAGCACAGAAGCGCGCATCTCAGATAGATCGGATCTTCGTCGCGTCTCCCGATCTGGCCGATCACGCAGATGCGCGCCTCGGCGAATGCGTGGGGCTTCCCCGAGACGCTGGGGCAGCATAGCATCTCTGACCACGCGCCGCTGCAGGTTGCTCCCCGTCATCGCCCTCCACGGCCCCCCCCGCTGCAGCCGGCCCTGGGGCTCCTTCAATCATCCCGATGTCACGGCGTTTCTGGAAGGGTTTTAGGAGAAGCTGGATCCGACGATGGCGACGCCCATGGATATGAGAAGAGCTGCCACGCATGCCCGGGATTCGATGTTCAAGAATGAGCCAAACACGACGGCGACGAAGTTCATCTTCCTCCGCTCGATTGCACGCGTTGCATGTCGCCGAGATAGGGCGCCTGCTCGCCGCCTGCTCAGATGTGATCTTGCGCGGGAGCATTCCGTTGTGGACGTGGGGTCTCGCCGCGACTCTCTCGTGCACCCTGCATCTTGCGCTTGGGCCATTGGCGCTCTTCAGCCCGCCAGTGCGGAGGAGGGGCAGCGCCTGGCCAGGGGGCGTTTACAGTCCGACGACTTGCGAGCGCATGCAAAGGCGCACGATCGGCTTCGCTCGCTGGCAGAGCGCGGCAAGCTGCGGGCGCCGTTCAACCGCTCAGTCCAGTTGACCGTTGATGCGCCTGCGCTCCGACGGAAACACCCTGGCCCCCCCAGCCCAGATCCCCCAGGAGATAACCGATCACTGGGGCCAAGTGTTTGAGCAGAAGAATGTTGACACGATCGCCGCTGACGCGCATCTCTCCCGCCTCTGCAACCACGGCGACCTTGCCGACCTCCCGCCCCCCATGCTCAGGGAGGTCCAGTCCTGCGTGGCTACGTCGGTTCCCTCCGCCCTGGGCCCAGATGCGCCCCCCCCCACGGTGCGCGGCAGGCCCGGGTCTTGGGATCTCAGGAAGTGCGCGGCGCTCTATGGTGGCAACCACATGGAAACCCCATGCCTTTTGGATCTGACAGCCTGATCGGCATATTTGCGCCCAAAGGAGAGGGCCCCGATGACTTGCCACATGGGGTCATCCGACAGGTCTCAGAGCTTCACCCCCCTGGCCTCGAAACACGGATACCAAGATCATAACAGGCATCGCGTTCAGGCAGCGAAGTCGCCGGCCCCCTCCCGTTGTCAATCACGTCCAGAGGGGCTTCTCCGGCACCCGCAACTTGGAAACAGCGTAGCTGAGCTCGACGCTTGCAGCCGCGT